TGTGTGTGTGTTGGTGGGTGGATCTGTGTGACTGTTGGTTAGTTCTTTGTGATTTGTAGGTGTTTTGTGGTGTGTGGTAGTGGTATTTTGTTGAGTGGATGAGTGGTTGTTGATGGATAATTCTGGGTGTGAACGTGGCCGACTGTGTGGTTGTCTGGCGGGGTGGATGTTTAGGGGTAGGCAATGCAATGGAATGAAATGGAATGCAATGCAAAGGAATGCAAGGGAAAGGAAGGCATGGAATGGCGTCACATGGAATGGCATGTGATGTGATGGAAGGTGACAGAACGGAAGGGAAGGGAACTGGACGGGACTCCACTGGTGGTGGATTGGACTGATGTGATTGCAGAGGGCGGGTGTTCGGTGAATAAAAATAAAAGTGATCATCATAATCAAAGGGAATTGACTGACCTGGTGTTGTTGACTCGAATTGAGGCGTGGTAGTCAACTGTTGATCAGTGCCTTCCGACTGAGTGCTTTCTGACTGATCTGTGACTGGTTGTGTTTCTGTGGAGGGAGGGACGGGAAGAGAGACAGAGTGAGACAGAGATAAAGAGAGATAGAGAGAGTGAGTGAGTGAGTGAGTGAGTAAGTGAGCGATGGAGCAGTGGTTTTATGTATTGAAATTCGACTTGCGTTCGATTGTTTGTTTGCTTGTCTGTGTGATTGTGTGGCTGTGTGTGTGTGTGTGTTGGTGGGTGGATCTGTGTGACTGTTGGTTAGTTCTTTGTGATTTGTAGGTGTTTTGTGGTGTGTGGTAGTGGTATTTTGTTGAGTGGGTGAGTGGTTGTTGATGGATAATTCTGGGTGTGAACGTGGCCGACTGTGTGGTTGTCTGGCGGGGTGGATGTTTAGGGGTAGGCAATGCAATGGAATGAAATGGAATGCAATGCAAAGGAATGCAAGGGAAAGGAAGGCATGGAATGGCGTCACATGGAATGGCATGTGATGTGATGGAAGGTGACAGAACGGAAGGGAAGGGAACTGGATGGGACTCCACTGGTGGTGGATTGGACTGATGTGATTGCAGAGGGCGGGTGTTCGGTGAATAAAAATAAAAGTGATCATCATAATCAAAGGGAATTGACTGACCTGGTGTTGTTGACTCGAATTGAGGCGTGGTAGTCAACTGTTGATCAGTGCCTTCCGACTGAGTGCTTTCTGACTGATCTGTGACTGGTTGTGTTTCTGTGGAGGGAGAGACGGGAAGAGAGACAGAGTGAGATAGAGATAAAGAGAGATAGAGAGAGTGAGTGAGTGAGTGAGTGAGTAAGTGAGCGATGGAGCAGTGGTTTTATGTATTGAAATTCGACTTGCGTTCGATTGTTTGTTTGCTTGTCTGTGTGATTGTGTGGCTGTGTGTGTGTGTGTGTTGGTGGGTGGATCTGTGTGACTGTTGGTTAGTTCTTTGTGATTTGTAGGTGTTTTGTGGTGTGTGGTAGTGGTATTTTGTTGAGTGGGTGAGTGGTTGTTGATGGATAATTCTGGGTGTGAACGTGGCCGACTGTGTGGTTGTCTGGCGGGGTGGATGTTTACGGGTAGGCAATGCAATGGAATGAAATGGAATGCAATGCAAAGGAATGCAAGGGGAAGCAATGCATGGAATGGCGTCACATGGAATGGCATGTGATGTGATGGAAGGTGACAGAACGGAAGGGAAGGGAACTGGATGGGACTCCACTGGTGGTGGATTGGACTGATGTGATTGCAGAGGGCGGGTGTTCGGTGAATAAAAATAAAAGTGATCATCATAATCAAAGGGAATTGACTGACCTGGTGTTGTTGACTCGAATTGAGGCGTGGTAGTCAACTGTTGATCAGTGCCTTCCGACTGAGTGCTTTCTGACTGATCTGTGACTGGTTGTGTTTCTGTGGAGGGAGAGACGGGAAGAGAGACAGAGTGAGATAGAGATAAAGAGAGATAGAGAGAGTGAGTGAGTGGGTGAGTGAGTGAGTGAGTGAGTAAGTGAGCGATGTAGCAGTGGTTTTATGTATTGAAATTCGACTTGCGTTCGATTGTTTGTTTGCTTGTCTGTGTGATTGTGTGGCTGTGTGTGTGTGTGTGTTGGTGGGTGGATCTGTGTGACTGTTGGTTT